CCTGCGACCGACGCACCGGTGGCGCCCCCTGCCGACGGGTCGGATGACGATTCGGCCGACGACGACGACGAAGAGTCCGAGTCCGAGAGCGAGAGCGAGCGGTTGGCGGAGGAGCTCGCGCTCAAGTCGGACCTGGCCGAGGCCGCGCCTGCGACAGGATCGTGGGTCGAAGATGCCACGCGCTACCCGGCGCTGTACCTCAACACCGTGCCCGAGCCGTCGTCGTCGGCGGTGTCCAAGAAGCTGTCCAAGCAGGAGGCGGAGATGCTCAAGGCGGCGTCGCAGTCGGGCGCCATGGTGGACGTCGACGACGCGGACCTCAAGGGCTTCGCCAAGGAGGGCTACGAGAAGATGCTGCTCGACGGCATCGACGACACGTTTGAGCGCTTCCTCAAGCGCGTCCAGGTCGAGCCGAGGCAGGCGGTGCGCTACGAGTTTGCCGGCCAGCCTATCGCCTTTCATGCCAAGGGCGCCGTGTACAACCTGCTCTGGCCCGCTCACAAGCCTGCTGCTGGCGAGCGCGTGGCGGTGACCAAGGGCCAGTTTGGAGCCGGCGCGGCTGCCTCGCAGGGGGAGAGGACGTTTAGCGCACGCGGTGTGCCGCCGTGTCCCGACTGCGGTGCCGAGCGCGTGTTCGAGGCGCAGCTCATGCCGAACTTGATCAACCTGCTTCGTGCGCACACGATCCAGACTGCCGACGGAGCTGTGGACACCGATTCCTCGCAGCATCCGGGCGGCGAGGGGGAAGAGGACCGCAAGCGCGCGATCGAGCAGGCGCTCGGCAGACGCATCCCCACCGAGGGCAGCAAGGACTCGGCGCCACTCGACTCGAGGTCCGGACTGGTGTGGAGCACAGCGTTCATCTTTGTGTGCAGCAAGGACTGTGTGGTTCCGCCCAACGACGCCGACGAGTGTGCCAAACACGAACTCATCCTCGCCCAGTTCGAAGACGAAGCCTAGTCCTTCCCCCGCCTTCTCGTCACGTTAGCAACACTTGCATCTTTGTACTCTTCATGCCGCATTTTGCATCTGTACTTGTACCCAATTGATCTGCATTATCACTCCAGACCAGTGGTTGTGAGTGTGTGATGCATGATGAGCAATCAGGGTTATGATGACGATCTACTCGGTGTCTTGGTCAATGTCGTGGCGGGTGGGGGCGAATCGTTTCGTGCGTTCGCTGAGGGTGAGGGGCACCAATCTTGTGGCAGCCGCGGCGAGCAAGGCCATTGTGCCACCGAACCTTAGCACCCACACGGTTCCCTCGGCTGGGTTTGCGACGTCTTGAGTCGAGGTGGCGGCGAGGTTGAGCAGGGGATCGGTTAGGACGAGGTGGATCTTGTTGTGCGACGAGTGGACCGCGCTAAAGATGAGGCTTGCGATGATGGCGACGACAAACTGGGGCGCAACTATGGCCAGGTTGTGAATGCCTAGAATCGTACCTGCTCCACCTGTGCTGCGTGCGTGATCAGCTCGACCAGCATCCAGATCCAAACTGTCTGCATCGTCATCGTGCGGATGCGGGAGTGGGGCACATTCAACCAGCGATGCACGGATACGATCTCTGGCATCCTGCTCCCGTACCGGACTGCGTCCCGACACCTCATCAATGTACTTGAATCCCGTTCTAGCCTCGACGGCACTGGTGGGTGAGGCAAGTGCGCCGTCATCGCGACTGACGGATTGTCGGATGCTTTCGCGACGCTGTTTGCGCACCCACCGCTCGCGCGTGCGCACCGGGCTCCAGTGGTCACCATCAAACTCAAACGGCGACGTTCCGTCCTCGGCCTCGCGCACGAATTCGCCCACCATCGCAAACGGCGCCCACGCCGCCACGCTCCACGGCAACCCCACCAGCGCAATCACCAACGTCGCCTGCTGCACCGTCGATGCCCACGCGGTGCCAACGAGCATGAGCAGCGCAAATGCAATCGACGCCAACGTCCAAAACGTACGCAGCGTCAGTCCTTGCCGCATCCCGCGCGCCAGACGCTGCGAGCGAGACAGCTTATCCGTCTGCTCGAGATGGTGCGTCTGCTGCGCTTCCCAGTCCGCATCGCGGGTGGAGACACGCAGCGGCGAATCTGGCTCGCTTCCCGGTGTTTCGCTCTGCGGCGTGGCTTGCCGACTGTCCTCACCCGCCAGGGCGAGGTAGGGGAGCAGCGCGCCCGATACGAGCGAGACGAGCGCAAAGAGGAGCATGGCAAACGAGCCGCGTTCGGCATCGTGGTCCGAACTGGCATGCCCGCCCGACTCCCCCGCACCCTGCTGCACTGCCAGAGCGTCCTGCTTGTCGTGGCGTCGAAGCGCGCGTTCGTACTGCGCAATCTGGAGCACGTACGTGGTGCTGTAGAAGAGGAAGGGGAACCAGCCCATAAAGGCAAAGAGCTGCACGAGGCACACTCTGCGCACCGAGCGCGGCAGCCTGCGGATGGCGTGCCACACGTCGTCGACGGTCTGTGTGCACTTGCGCCAGGCGGATGCACAGGGCGAAGCGCGCGCGGGCGGATGCAGCAGACGCGGATCGGCGGGCGACTCGTCGATGCAGGCGATGGTGACGCTGACGCACGAGATCATGGCGAGAAGCGAGATGAGTGCGAAGCGGCGGAACTGGCCGCCGCCGAGCCAGCGGAGGCGTTGCCAGCTGGCGAGGTCGAGCCATCCGCACATGTAGCCGAGCACGTTGCCCGTATGCGTCATCCTGCCCTGCCATGCGTTGGCGATGGTCTGCTGCTCGGACGGCGCGGTGTCGAGGATGAGCGCGCGCGACGCAGCCTGCAGGCCGTTGAGCGCAAAGTCGAGCACCCAGAATGCGATGACCGAGATGGCCTGCGTGGTGGAGTGGACGAGGCGGTGGCGGTGCGGGTCCCAGTCGGCGAGGCCGCCGCCAAACAGATCGACGAGCAGCGTCGAGATGGGGATCGAGTAGGCGAGCGTCAAGGTGGAGATGGTGAGGAGGGTGGCGGAGATGATCATGTATTTGCGGCGGCGAAACGGAGAGGTAGAGTGGTCCGAGAGCGAGCCGACGACGGGCTGTGCGATGAGGCCGCTGAGTGGACCTGCGAGCCAGACGAGGCTGGTGCTCTGTTCGCTGAGGCCGAGCGAGAGGAGGTAGGGGGTACCGTAGGCGAGCTCGAGCGTCCACGCCAGCTGAGCGCCGGCAAGGCTGAGCGTGAGGATGATGAGGCCGAGGCGGGTGAGCCTGGGCTGATGGTCGTGCGATAATGGCGAGCCTGACTGCGGACCATTGGGCAGAGAGACACGGCGGTAGAGGCTGCAATGGACGAAGGAGCCGAGACGATTGGGTATGCTCTTGAGCGGAGCAGCGATTCGATGCGCCCAGCTGGGCGGTGCGTTTGCTTGTGCCTCTGCAGCTTCGAGGGCGCGACGCAGACGAGCCTTGCGCGCATCTTCGGATTCGGTGCGCCAGAGATGAAAGCCACTGCGCCTGCGATGGTCGGTGGGCGATGCACCACGAAGGGTGGAGCTCGGTTCGCGCTGTCGCAATGCGGGGTTGTGAGGCGACTTGAGCAGATCGTCGAGACTGGCTGGTGCCTCTGGGGTCTGGATTTGGACGCGCCGGTCCGGGGTTTGCAGGGTTGACTGTGAGGGGGTGGCTGTGTCGTTGTCGAGTGGCGGCGAACGTGATCGCGATGGCGGTTGCGAGGATGTCGAGGCCATTTCGACAGTCGCCTGGTCGCGGCTAGGGTTGATGGTGGATGGAAGTGAAGGCGAAGGCGAAGGAGGATGAGGAGGAGGAGGACGACGACCGAAAACCTCCACTCGGACGTCACAATCGGCTGCTCCGCTCAGGGTCCGCATCGGTGGATCATCATCTCAGGCAGTCTGCCAGTGTCGACGGCGAGAAAAGGCTGAGTTCTGTTGGATTTTGGCGGTCTCGCATTTTTTGCCCTTTTTTTTGGGGCTCGGCATTCGGAGGAGCCTTCGGGGGCCAAAGTTTGCCATCTTCCTCGACACCATCCTCACTGAGATCCATCATCCTCGACATCACGGCTCCTTCTCTGCTTCGACGGCCGCAAGCCTTGATTATACCCCATCTCACTCAGCGATCGAGGCCCCCCTCCCCATCTCGAAGCAGCACATCAGACAGCCTACCGCGCCATCGACGCTCTTGGGCACACGCCCACCATGGACGACTACGACGAGTTTGGAAACTACATTGGCCCACTCTCCGACTCGGATCTTGGTTCGGATGACGGCCAAGACCACCAGGACGATGTTGCGCCGCCTCCGCTCGAACCATCAGCGCCTCTCGAAGGCTACGACGATGCGCACGACGACGACGAACGCCTGGCCAACATCGAGGTGGACGAAGACGGCAACATCATCCCACAGCGCCAGTTGATACGCGTCGACGAGGGCCCCTCCAACGCCGTTGTGCTTCACGAAGACAAGCAGTACTATCCATCCGCAGCAGACGTCTACGGCGACGACGTCGAGACCATGGTGCAGGAGGAAGACGCACAGCCTCTCTCCGTGCCCATCGTCGAGCCAGTCGTGGAGCGTCGCTTTGCCGTCCAGGAAGACGGTCTGCCGGAAACCCGCTTCGACCGCTCCTTCCTCGCCAACCTCATGGGCTTCCCCGACATGGTGCGCAACGTCGCCGTCGTTGGCCATCTCCACCATGGCAAGACATCGCTGCTCGACATGCTCGTATACGAAACGCACAAGATCCAACACGACATGGACAACCATCTGCGCTACACGGACGCGCACACGCTCGAGCGCGACCGCGCCATCTCGATCAAGTCGGCGCCGCTCTCGCTCGTGCTCGAAAACACAAGGCGCAAGTCGTACCTCGTCAACCTCATCGACACGCCCGGACACACCAACTTCCAGGACGAGGTGGCGGCCGCATGCCGCCTCGCAGACGGCGTCGTCCTCGTCGTCGACGTCGTCGAGAGCGTCATGTGCAACACCGCCCACGTCGTGCGCCACTGCCTGCGCCACAAGCTGCCCATCGTGCTCGTGCTCAACAAGATCGACCGCCTCGTGCTCGAGCTCCGCCTGCCGCCCACAGAAGCCTACTACAAGATCCGACACGCGATCCAGGAAGTCAACAACCTCATCGCGTCCATCGACGCCAACCCGGCGCTGCAGCTCGCGCCCGAGCGCGGCAACGTCGCGTTTGCATCGACGCAGATGGGCTACTGCTTTACGCTGCGCAGCTTCGCCAAGCTCTACGCCGAGACGTACGGCGCGGGTGTCGACGTGGACGCCTTTGCACACCGCCTCTGGGGCAACATCTACTACAATCCCGAGTCGCGCAACTTTTCGCGCACGCCCGCCGACGCCAACACGCCACGCTCCTTTGTCCACTTTATCCTCGAGCCGCTCTACAAGATCTACACCGCCGTGCTCTCTTCGGACACGCCGTCGCTGCGCCGCACGCTCGCCACGCTCGGCATCCGCCTCAAGCCCGCCGTGTTCAAGATCGACGTGAGGCCGCTGCTCAAGATCGTGCTCGGCGAGTTCTTTGGTCCCGCGCAGGGGCTGGTGGATTTGGTGGTGGATCACGTGCCTTCGCCGCGCGCCGCCGCAGCCGCACGTCTCGCCGACGCCTACACGGGCCCCAAGCAGGGTGCGGCGTACAAGGCCATGGCGGCGTGCGATGCAGACGGCCCGCTGGTGGTGCAGGTGTGCAAGCTCTACGCCACCGTGGATGCGCTCGACTTCCGCGCGCTGGGCCGCGTCATGTCCGGCACCGCGCGCGCAGGCATGCGCGTCAACGTGCTCGGCGAAGGCTTCAGCCCCGACGACGACGAAGACATGGTGGCCGCCACGATCGACTCGGTGGCCATCAGCGAGACGCGCTACAGCGTCGGCGTCGACGGCGTGGCGGCAGGCAGCTGGGTGTTGCTCTCTGGCATCGACGCGTCGCTCACCAAGACGGGCACGCTGGTGGATGCCGCCGTGGATACCGAGGGCATGGGCATCTTTGCGCCGCTCGAGCACATGACGCAGTCGGTGCTCAAGGTGGCCGTGGAGCCGCTGGTGCCCTCGGAGCTGCCCAAGATGCTGGATGCGCTGCGGCGCGTCAACAAGAGCTATCCGCTCGCCGAGACGCGCGTCGAGGAGTCGGGCGAACACGTGGTGCTGGGCACCGGCGAGCTGTATCTCGACTGTGTGCTGCACGATCTGCGCGTGCTCTTTGCGGGGATCGAGATCCGCGTGTCGGATCCGGTGGTGCGCTTCTGCGAGACGGTCGTCGAGACGTCGGCGGTGAAATGCTACGCCGCCACGCCCAACAAGCGCAACCGACTCACGATCATCGCCGAGCCGCTCGAAAAGGGCTTGGCCGAGGAGATTGAGTCGGGCGCGATCGACGTGCATGCGCCGCCCAAGGTGCTCGCCAAGCTGCTCCAGGCCAAGTACGGCTGGGACGTCTTGGCGAGTCGCAGCGTGTGGGCGTGGGGGCCTGGTGAGCGCGGTGCCAACGTGTTGGTGGACGATACGCTGCCTAGCGAGGTGGACAAGACGCTACTCTACGCTGTCAAGGAGAGCATTGTGCAGGGATTCCAGTGGGCGTGTCGCGAGGGACCGCTTTGCGACGAGCCGGTGCGCAACGTCAAGTTCCGCATCCTCGATGCCTCGCTCTCGCCCGAACCCATGCATCGCGGCGGAGGACAGATGATCCCGACGGCACGCAGGGCGTGCTACGCTGCGCTGCTCATGGCCACGCCGCGACTGATGGAACCGATCTATGAGGTGCAAGTCTCGACACCGCAAGACGGCATCGCAGCCGTGTATACGATCCTCGCCAAGCGGCGTGGTCACGTTGTGCAGGACACGCCCAAGCCCGGCTCGACGCTGTATACCGTCAAGGCGTATGTGCCCGTGGTAGATGCGAATGGGTTCGAGACGGATCTGCGCATCGCTACGCAGGGCAAGGCGTTTTGCATGCTCATGTTCAGCCACTGGTCGATCGTCCCCGGCAGCCCAACGGATGCAAGCATCAAGCTGAGACCGCTCGAGCCCGCACCGGCCCTGGCACTCGCCAAGGACTTTGTGCTAAAGACAAGGAGGAGAAAGGGTCTGCCCGACACCATCGCGCTCGCTTCCTACCTCGATGCCGACATGACCATGGCACTTGTACAGGCCGGAATCGAAATCTAGACCGCCGCATTGCAATCTCACACGCCAATCCCTGTCCGTCTGCCACGCTTGTCCGTCTGAAAATGAGATCGAGTGATTGTTTCGATTGCGAGGGCAGGTTCGATGAGGATGGACGTTTTTCAGGCCTGGGCCTTGTTCTCTTCGAGCGGGAGGAGGAGGTTGTGTTTGAGCAGCAGTTCCTCGAGTTCTCCCGACTGGTGCACTGCAATTCCGCCGCTCAATGCCGTCAGTGTTTGCTTTGTCTCGTATCATTCAGCGCAGAGGGGTTGACTTACTGTTGATGAGGATATCGCAGCCGCCGACGAATTCGCCGTCGACGTAGACTTGCGGAATGGTGGGCCAGTCGGAATACTCCTTGATGCCCTCTCGGAGTTCCTGGTCTTCGAGGCAGTTGAATGTCTTGAGCAGTTCGGGTTTGACGCCCTGCACCTGCATTACCTGGATCACGGCACGGCTGAATCCGCACATGGGCATATCCGGCGTACCCTTCATAAACACCACGAGCGGGTTGGCCTTGACGGCTCCGTCGATTTTGGCGCGTGCCTCGGTGCTGAGCATTCGAGAGATGGCGAGGTACGAGGGCGGAATCGCCGCGCGCGAAGGCGCAAGCCCAGTCTGACGCCCAAGACCCGTTCGCTAACGATCCCAAGTTCAAGCGCAAAGAAAGCGGTGAGAAAAAGCGGAATCGGAATTCCAAGTGCAAAGCGACTGCAGGTCAGCACTGAATGTCACTGTTCGACCTTTTGTGAAGGATTGCGACGTACCAAAAGACCAAGACTCTGACGCAGCATGGTTATGGATGATGAAGGTGGTGGTGGTGGTGGAGGGGCAAAGTGTCGGAGCGGCTCGGCTTGGTTGGCTGGTGGTGTGGAGGCCCAAAATCCGAGCGCGAAGAAAAAGCGCGCGCCCGATCGACCGTTGCCTTTCGGCGATCTTCCATTACTCAGCCGCGTCCTCCCCAGCCCAGCCTGCTCGACCCCATCGCCGCCCCACGGCCTCTCCCTCAGCCCACGCCTGTAACACAGCCCAATCACCCTCCCTGCGCTATGCCGCACCAGACTCTGCTCAACATCAGCCTCGCCACCACCATCAGTATCCCCCTTCCGTCTCACACACAAGCCACCATCTCACGATGCAAATGCCTCCGCTCAGCCACCGTCTCGCTTGCACACCCACTGAATCATCCCAACGTTTCGCAACGTTTCGCGCATACTCGAAGCTTTTGGGCGTAGCAAGGCTTCAATTCCGGAGCAATCATAGAATCTCGGAGCATAACGATACGAAGCTAGACAGGAGACATACGGGGCAAAAACGTTCTGGTCAAGGGACAACGGAGCGGACGAGAAAGGGATCATCGCAACACCTGAGGGAACAAAAGACCTTTTGGGGGGCGGAAACCTGCTGCCGAGCACGGCTAGGCGAGCAGTCAATGAGAAAACAGGATACCGGAGAGGACCTCGCTTAGGCGAGCAGTCCACGGGCCTCGTCGCGCTCGCGCTCGGCGAGCTCGCAGCGTCGCTTCCACGACTCGACCTCGCCCGACAGGGCCTCGATCTTCTCGTGCAGCAGACGCAGCTCCTCCGCCTTGCGGTGGCGCGATCGTCGTGCGGCAAGCGTGTTCGACAGACGCTTGGCGACGCGCGGGTCCTTTTCGCGTCGGATCGCCGCCTCCTCCTCGGCAAACTCGTCGGCCTCGGCAGTGTCGCGTCGCGAAGTGGCCGAGACCGTGTAGTAGTTGCGCTTCTGGATGGGTGCATCCAGCGGAAGAAGGTCGGTCGTGTCGAGTCGACGCTTGGTGCCACGAGCCTCGGTCTTGTTGGAAGACGTCGAGGTGCGGCGGTCCATAGCGTCAGGCGAGCTCGATTCCGAGCGCGGGGCAGCCGGAGCCGGGCCAGACTGGGCTGAAGGAGCGGGCGCAGGGGCCAGCGCAGGAGCAGCCGAGACAGGAGCCGGGGCCGGAGCGAGGGGGGCGGCCATCGAAGTGAATGCCAGCGGCGAGGCGGTGAGCGCCGGTGCCGAAGGCGTCGAGGTGGCGACGCTGGCAGCTGCCGTGGTCGCCGAGCTCGAGAGCGCCGCGCTGCTCAGCGCGCGGAGCAGAGTGAGCGCCGGGTCCTCGGTCGACGAGGCGCTGCCGGCAGCGGGCTTGCCGAGCTTGCTGAAGGCCATCTCGACGGGAAGCTTGATGGGCTTGGCGTCGGGGAAGAGGCTAAAGTCGCTGCTCATCTCGGGCGCGCCAAAGTCGCCAGCCGTGTGGACGCCAAAGTCGTGGCTCGCGAGCTCGAGCGGGCTGACGTTGGACGAGGCGTAGCCGTCCTGGGGAGGGAAGAGGGGAGCGCCGGCGATGCCGGGCACTCCGAGATCGTCGTCGTAGCTGTCGAGGGGCAGCAGCGGACTGGGTCCGCACGAGTCGATCTCAAACGACATCGAGTCAGTCAGCGCCGGCGAGGGGTCAGTCCAGTCTGGTGAAGAGAGGAAGTCCTCGGCGGCGTGAGCCTGGAATCCGTGTCCGATCCACGAAGGGTCGTCGGCAGACATGGGGTTGAGGCCGAGCGAGGCGGCGTTGAAACCGGACTCGACCTTCGTGTGGTCTGCAGCGCGCGCCTCGAAGGGCAGCAGCGCCGCGACCGACGTGTCAGCAGCAGTGGTAGCAGCAGCGGGCATCGTGGCGTTAAGCTGAGCGATGAGCTGTTGGTAGTGCCTGATCTGTTCCAGTCGTTGCTTCTGGGCTGGCGTCAACGAGTTGATCGTGGCGGCAGCGGGCGAGGCAGAGGAGGACAGAGTGTGACGACGACCAGCGGCAGCAGCGGCGAGCGCGGAAGCAACAGCGGCGGGGGTGATGCTGGGCACTCGGGCAAACGTGGGCTGGGCGGGCGTAGCAGGGGCCGGGCTGTTAGCGGGGGCGACGGCGGCAGCGGCGGCGGCGGCGTGGACGTGGGGAGGGGAGGGACGGACGGCAGCCAAGGTTGACTGGAGTTGTCGGAGGAGGTTGGCTTGTGCGTACGGAGACGACGGGTTGGAGATGGCGGCCTCGAGATGAGCGCGAAGAGATATGGGAGCGGCGGTGGCAGCAGCTACTGGCGTGCTGGAACGTCGGTGGTGACTAGAGCTATTCAAAAAGGAAGGCGATGGCGCAGATGCGTTATCGTTGGTCGGGCGGTGGACACCTTTCAAAAAGGGTGGTTGCGCAGTCGGGGAACGACTTTGGGGAGGCTTGCTGAGTACTTGCGGATTGTTGGATTTGGCCGAGGCGGGGCTTGCACTGGGGAGTGGGGACAACCATGATGGCGATGTAGAAGACAGCTTGTTAGGAGCTGTCAGATTGACGTTTTGGGAGTTGGTCCAAGAAGACAACGTAGAAATCGACCCAAAGGGAAGATTCGAAGACAATGTGGGATTGGTGGGGAGGGGGAGAGGCTGTAACGACGAGGTTAGGGAGTCTGTCCTTTCTTCGTTCTGTGACGAGGAAGAGGAGCGCGAGTCTAGACGGGATGACCGTTTAGAAGAGCATGGTGGGCCAGCTACGTGGTTCGGGGTGAAGAAGCAGCTGTAGGAGATTGTGGGATCGCTCGGGGCGATGGGCTAAGGCAGGCTAGGGGACGGAAATCCACTGAAGGGTGTAGAGGAGTGGTTTCCGGTCAAGAGAGATCTTCGCTGAGTGTCGAAGATGTGATGTGGATTGGGATTTGGGTTTGGATATGGAAGGAGGAGGGAGGTGAGAAGCACCGAAGAGGACAGCTGGTTATAAGGGAAGCGGCAGCAGAGGGCAGTCAGAGGCTTCGAGGGGTGTTGCGGGTCGGCAGAGCATCCGAAGCGGAAAACGGGCACACGAGCAGTGTAGCAAGGATGGTGCTGGAGGTGATCAGGCGGGATCGCAGTGTAGCGATGCCACGATCAGGGCAGACACAGGCCCCACGCCCGGTACGATCGAGTGGGCTTCCCGAATGAAGACGGCCGATGTGCCGGCACAATAGCAGGAGGAGAGGCACGAGCCTGGGACTGGTGGGGTGCCTGAGAAAGAAACAACGAAAAAAAATACAAAAACGGGGTGAGGTGGATGTGGGCGGCGGTTGACTGGCGCCAAGCCGTGTGGTGAAGCTCGGTCGAACTGGGCCGGTAAGTTTGGTTGAGTTTGAACCGTCCGTGTTTCGCTACACGAGCGTGGGCCTTTCAATCTTTTTGGCGATCGTCTTCATCACACGTACCTTGGCGCCATGGCCATCCCTGGAGCAAGAGCCTTCGCTCTAGCTCGTCAGCTCTTCAACACTCAAGGTAGTCACAGACAAGATCCAACGATGGCTTGCAAGATGCGTAGCTGTGTGCGGAAGCCGAGTTACAGTAGCGGCGCATTCGAGAGAAAATGAAATGGAGAGGGATACTGCGTCGGCCTTGTGTGAGCCAATGTGGGCGAGCGGGACGCCTATCGCCAGCGCTGACCGAGGAATGCTGCCGGGAGCGAGCCGAGCCGCGATGGTCGTTCCTCGATGCTGCTGCCTGCCCGAACCGCGGTCGGCTGGGTGGTCGCATTGAGGCGAGGAAAGGACGGGTGGGAGCTCCTTGCTCACGAGGCTTCATGCGGCGTGCGTGGGGACGCGAGCATAGCTGGCGATGAGCTGGAAGGCCAAGCTCGCTCTTCCAACGGAGGGTCGGACTTACCGACGAGCAGCACCAGCGCTTTCATCGGTGCGGTGCCGAGATGGGAACACGCACGTCGGCATAGCGTCGGTTCAAGGACGAGCTGCAGCGTCGCGTGCACACACGCACACCCACACACTCACGCCGCAGCGATCTTCTTGAGAAGGTCGAGTCATCCCGCGCTCGTGCATATGCGCATTCCACACGCCGCCCAATCTCCCCATTGTTGCCCCTTCCCCCGCCTTGGGACGGCCCCACAATCACAGCGCCAAGTGTGAGCCGTTCAAAGCGGTGCTGGTCCCAACATGCCGCACCGCCGCACCGCCGCACCGCCATCTCGACGAACTAGCATGCCACGATCAGCGTACTCCGCGGCAAATGCATGAAAGTGAATGTTGTGTGTGGGTATGGGTGTGGGCATCTTGCCGAGGAACGGCTGGTGAGAGGGAGGGAGGGAG